CCTGTTGGTTACTTATCAACAAGCCTTCATGGGTGTCATGGAATATGCTTTGAAAACACACCTTTTTAGGATTCTTTTAGGGAGAGCCTACATGCTTTCTCCCCTAGATTGTCTACAAAGGCCAGGGGAAGGAAAGTGACTTTTTAAAGTTCATCAGTGACAACTTTTTTTAAAAATTTATTGGGAGAGATTTGTTGTTGCACTTACTTATGCATTCATTGGTTGATTCTTGTATGTGCTCCAACCAGGGATCGAACCCACAACCTTGGTGCAACGGGATGACACTTTAACCAACTGCACCACCTGGCCAGGGCAGGAAAGTGACATTTGAGATGAGGCTCAGGGGACGATTTGCATTATGGGAAGAGGGACACGCACATGCAAATGCCTGGAAGTCTGCAGTGTAAAGTTCCAGTGTAGCTGAAGTAGAGTGATTTGGCTGGAGAGATGCCAGGCTCAGTGATCAGGGGTCCATGTGCACTCAAGAATTATAATAGTTTAGAAGCCTCTGGCCACGTGGGAAAAACAGCTTGGCCAGGAATGAGGGTGGAAGCTGGGGAACCAGGGAGGAGCTGACCACACTGGTCAGAGTAGCGATGACCCGTGGTGGTGACTCAGATGGGGGCCAGGGATGGAGCAGCTGGATGGATTGAAGAATTAAAAGTAGAATGGCCCTAACTGGTTTGGGGCCATCAGTGGATAGAGCGTCGGCCTGTGGACTGAAGGGTCCCAGGTTCGATTCCGGTCAAGGGCATGTACCTTGGTTGCAGGCACATCCCCAATAGGGAGTGTGCAGGAGGCAGCTGATCGATGTTTCTCTCTCATCGATGTTTCTAACTCTCTATCCCTCTCCCTTCCTCTCTGTAAAAAATCAATAAAATATATATATTTTTAAAAAGTAGAATGGGTTGAGAACAGACTGACAGCTGTCACAAGGGAAGGCTGGGTCTAAAAAGTGAAGTGATTAAGCAAAGAAAAAACAACAACCTCATAGACACAGACAACAGTATGGTGGTTACCAGAGGGAAAGGGGGTGGGGAGAGGTAGGAGGGGAAAGGGGGGATAAATTGTGATAGGAGACTTGGTTTGGGGTGGTGAACACACAATACAATATACAGATGATGTTCTATAGAATTGTACACCTGAAACCTATGTAATTTTATTAACCAATGTCACCCTGATAAATTCAATTAAAAAATTAGGGTCTATGTCTTGATGCGGGGAGTTGCAAGGTTCTAGAACTGCATGTGGGGTGGAAGATGTGTGGCATTGTGTCACATATGCAGTCCCACAGTCTTCCTGACTGCCCCCTCCCAGTCCCAGCTGCGTCAGGGCACTCTGTGGGTTCCTGTCTTGCCCTGACACCTGACATTCCGGCCTTAAGCCATTCCATGGAAGTCCCGCCCATGGCCTGCTGCTTCCCTGCCTCCCTGGACACAGAGAACTGCACCCCATTGCTCAACCTACCACCCTTTCCATGGGGCCATTTTACTCTGCCAGACCGAAGGCCTTTCCTCCTGACTCAGAGCAAGTCTCTGCTCCTGAGGACTTTTGTGGCCCACAAGCCTGAGCTCAAATCTGTGTGGTCTTGGCAAGTGCCTCACCCTCTCTGAGCCCCACTTGTATCACCTGTGAAAAGGGCACAAAGTCCCCCACCCCTCAGGGTTGGTGGGAGGAAAGGGGAAGGCACTGACTAGCAGGGCAGAGACGAGGGAAAGGCCATCCTGATAGAAGGGTGCTGAGAGCCAAGGCTGGTGGGGGTGGGAGGAGGCAGCAAGTGGCTGTCACCAGGAGCCACAGGAGTTGACTGATGGAGACCCCTGGTTCGTGGCCAGTGTCCACATGAGCTTGGTTTCAGGAACTCAGGCCAAGGTTGACGTGGAAGAGCCAGGCCAGGGGCCTGTAGCCCTGAACTCCCACCCCTACCAAAGTCCATGTGCTCCTGGGTCACCATGAATTTGGCTTTGCCCAAAACCACAGACACCCCACGGTCACACAGCCTGGAAGCAGCAGGGCCAGGATTTAAACCCCCAACCACCTGGCATGGGAGGAGGGCAAACACAGCTTGAGAAACACCTGTTGCAAGACTAGCCGTGCAAATGCTTGGACAAATGCTTCTGTTCTGTGCCTCAGTTTTCACACCTGAAAACGGGATAATCACCAAGTGAGTAGTGGGAAGCAAATATCTGGCCTTGGGAAAGTCCAAAGGGGGATGCAGCTGTGAGGCAGATGCCCAAATGCAGGAAAGGGATTCTGATGCTGAACAGACAACATAAAGGCGGAAGGGACATAGCTTGAGGAAGGGGAGACCCACCTCTGCCACCAACCCACTCTGTGGTTTTGGGCAAAGCCAAATTCATGGACACCCAAACCAACTGTCAATTCCCTTCCTTTTTTTTCTCAAAATAATTTTCCTTTCCATTGTCACAGAAAACATAAACATGCCTGAAGGAAGTGGAAACCTTCCTGAACATCTTGTTTTCTCATCTCCTAGTGGGCTGAGAGATGCAGAGAGCTGCCCAAGGTCACACAGCCTGGAAGCAGCAGGGCCAGGATTTAAACCCCCAACCACCTGGCATGGGAGGAGGGCAAACACAGCTTGAGAAACACCTGTTGCAAGACTAGCCGTGCAAATGCTTGGACAAATGCTTCTGTTCTGTGCCTCAGTTTTCACACCTGAAAACGGGATAATCACCAAGTGAGTAGTGGGCTCACACCTCATTTCCTGGGTCTTCAGGCTTCATAAGCCTTCCCAACCCCTGGCTCCCTCCTTTCTTAGCAACAGAACCACATCTCTAGGTGGACACACAGCAGCAGCGGAAAGGCTGCATTTCTCAGTCCTATGCAGCTAGGTGTGACCATTCGACTGCATCGTGGTCAACAGCACAGAAGAGTGAAGTGTCAGTTTCCACAGAGGGTCTCTAAGGGTTGGAGTGGGGTGGTGCCTCCTTGTTGACAGCTGGGAATATGGAATGAACAGATGGAGCTCCTGCAACCGCCGTGGGCCAGGAGGTGTACTCCTGCACTCTGAGGCACCAACTCCAGACTCTGACATGACAGATATGAACTCGTGTCTAACTTAAGTCAGAATTATCAAACTATAGCATCATATTTTTCTCATTTTCCAGTTCTAAGTGTACTCTTTTCCCCTCTCAAGGGACTAATACTTTAAATTGGTCTCATCCTGAATACCATGAAACCAAGGGTTTGGTGAGCTGATTTTCTGTAGAAATTAAAATAAATTCAAATGTATTAAAATAAAGACAAAGCTATTAAGGAAAAGGGGTGGGGGAAGCGGGACTTCCAAAATGATGGAGTGAGGATCTTGGCAAATCTCACCCCTAACAGCATCAACAATGAAACTATACAGTGTTGTCAAAAACAACCATATCAGGATTCTGGAGGTTTATCAAAGGCATTTGACAAATTAAACATTTATTCAAGAAAACGGAAAGAGTGACAGAGCAGAGGAGACTGCATTTTTTGCCTGGGGTTGTCTCCCCCACTTTCCCACCTGGGCCTCCCAGCTTCTTCCCACTGCCACGAAAACCACTGCTGGAGGAGGCTGACTTAATTTGGAGCCGAGTAGGAAAGCCTCAGGCCCTGGGGGACTGTAAGTAGCAGGGATCTCAGAGTAGGACTGGGCAGGGCTGAGGAGGTCTCCTAACTCGCTTAAGTGGGGATCCTGGTTTCCACAGATTGATAAAGTCAGACAGGAAGTCCAGGGAATGAGACAGCCTCAGTTGGCCCCACACATCCCGAGGGGCCGCACGCATGCTTGGGAGAGATGGAGAGAGCCCTGTCAACGCACAAATCTATGCAACTTGCTCACAGGGCAAAACTTCATGTCAACTTCTATGCAAGAGGGATGGGCAGGGAGCAAAGGTCTGACTTGCAAAATGCCTGAGCCCAGGCCACTGGCACAGGGCCTCACTGACTCCGGTGTTTGAGCACCACCTCTGAGCCATCACAAGCTGACCTCAAAACTAGGCTGACCTGGTGTAACTCTGAGAGGAAGCCAGATTAAAATTAAAGAATTAAAAACAAACAAACAAAAAAGAAAGCCCTAACCGGTTTGGCTCAGTGGATGGAGCGTTGGCCTGCTGACTGAAGGGTCCCAGGTTCGATTCCGGTCAAGGGCATGTACCTTGGTTGTGGGCACATCCCCAGTAGGAGGTGTGCAGGAGGCAGCTGATCAATGTTTCTAACTCTCTATCCCTCTCTCTCCCTTCCTCTCTGTAAAAAATTAATAAAATATATTTTTTAAAAAAAGAAAAAAGAACTGAACAGCCATCAGCTGCTGCACACTGTTGGGGAGACATAAACTGTAGTTAGTTCAGCAATGACTAAGCAAACAATAAAACAAAACACAACACTCCTTGGAGGAATTGGAATTCAGAGTTGTGACAATCTATTTTTTAAATGTCGACTTTTAGCCCTGGCTGCATAGCTCAGCTGGTTAAAGTGTTATCCTGATAAGCCACGGTTTCAAGGTTCAATCCCCAGTCAGGGCACATACAAGAAAAATAAAAATAAAAAAATCAATAAATAAAAAATAAAATAAAATGCCCACTTTTGAACAACAAATTCCAAGACATGCAAAGAAACAGGAAAGTGTGACCTACACTGAGGACAAGAGCAGCCAATAGAACCTTTCTCTGTGGGGGTCCGGATGGTGGACTTGAAAGCTCTGACCGCTTTGTATGGCACCTGCCTGTTCATGTGACCATCTCCCTGATCTCACCTTGGCTGCAGGTAGGGCAGGGACCATGCTGCTGGCTTCCTGTGACAGGGCAGGCTTGAACAAGTGGTGGGAATGACAGTGGCAGGGCCAAGAGCCTGAGCTTGTCCTTAGATGGTGTGAGGTCGGCCTCAGTATCCACCGTGAGAGGCTACCTGGGAGCTGGTGCCAGGAGGACATGAGGCTCCACACAGGCTGCCAGGCTTCACTGCCAATGCGCCAGGAGCAGGAACGAGTCCACCAGAAGAAGGCAAAGGGATGAGTTTTGCTGTTGGTTTAATTTATTACTGTTTGACATCCAGTGACACTGACATACCCCCGCCGGGCCTGCGGACCCCGGGCCCCAGCGAGCGTGACCTGTCCAATAAAATACAGTACAAGGAGTGGACGGCTACACACATGCATCCACGGCTTAAACTACAGTGATTCCAAACTGCGGCCGCAACAGTACTGCCAGGAAAGGAAAAGAAAAACAGGTGTCGTGTGTTCCCCGATTCATAATTCTTTGTCATTTTAAACAGTTAATGCCGTTAACAAACGCTACTGATGCCAGGACAGGACCAGACACAAACAGCCCTACATCTTCTCTGCCGTATAAATATGGAAGATTTTTGTTTATACAGTTATACCCCACGTCTGAAACTACATCTGCTGCTACCCGTTACTGCTAAGAGCTACACCGCCTCGGCTCTGGGACGAGGGGCTTGGGGTCGAGACTCTGGAATGTCCGGATTCAGTCTTCCTCGCTGCCACTTCCTGAGCGGTCCTGGAGGGGGACAGGAGAAGAGAGCATGAGTCGTCTGCATCCTGGAGGGGACCCCGAGACTGAAACACTGGCAGAGGCAAGGGAACTGCTTTTCCTGGGTGTGTGTGAGCAGCACAGGCCCTGTGAGGCTGGAGGTGGAGTGGTCTCTGCCTCAGCCCCTTCTGCCACGCCATCTGTCGCCTGAGGACTGGCCCCCGTACCCATACTGACTCTTCCTTGGAATCTGGGAGTCTCACCAGGCCCTCCCTGCTTCATCCCACTGCTGTTTGCCCCGTCCCTGTGCCCCTGACCTTGCATTTCAAAACCACCGTGGCTGTTCCTAACCATGAAAGATCTTTGCTCTTCTGTTTAAACATTTTGAGCAGCTTGGCAAGAGCCATAAAATGCCCTGCTGGGTCTGGACTGGGCAGGTGGGGCATTCTTATAGCCCAGACCTCCTCTCCTGAAGCACGGGCACCCCTCCTTGTGTGCAAGGCAGAATGACACCCTCATAAGGTCATGTACGTCTTCTGTCAGATTTATTGCAAGGTACTTAGTTTTGCTATTATTACTGCAAATGGCTATAGAAGAAGAGCAACACTAAAATGCGCCTACTGAGCTTGGCCAGGAGCCTGGCCCCATAACCCAGCCCACCTCTCTGCTTTGCAGAAGCGGAAACTGAGGCTCAGAAGTGAAGTGAACTAACTGCCCAGGCCCCACAGTAGGGAAGGGCCAGGTGTCTGGACTGGGACCAGGAGGCAAAGCTTGTTTAGACCAGCAGGTGGGTCTGCTCCCGCACCCCATATCCCCAAAACCGCCCTCTGTGGGCTTGAGGAGCCTGCAGCTTCTCCCCAGTGTGTGGGGACCACAGCCTGCAACAGGGGACATGCATCAGCCCCATTCATGGTTTTTGCTCCATATCCTTTTGTAACTGTGGAGCCAGGTATTTTTTAACCCACTAGCGTTGTTAGGAAATCCTCCCAGGCTGGCCAGAACAGAGCCCCGAGCGGAGAGACCCAGGCACATGGGGTAAGGACACTGTGACTGTGGCTGGATGGCCAGGCAGTGTCTGCTTGGGAAGGCTGAGCGGACAGGGACTGTACAGGGGCATCTCGAATCCCAGTGTCTCCTGCCCCTGAGCTCAAAAAAGACCTGGCCCCACTTTGGGCCATGGCAGGACAGCCCTGGGGTCCTGGCAGGCAGCTGTGCAGGCTCCTGCAGTGGGAACAGAACGGGATACCCACCCTGTCCCCAGATGCCCACTGGTGCAGAGGACTGGTTCTAGCGTCACATGGACTTGGGCTTGAGTTACATGTCATATAACGATGAGCCTCAGTTTCCCCATCTGTGGAGTGGGGATGTGAGAGCCTAACAGGTGTACCAGTTAATAATGCGGATCTTATAATCAGAAAACACGGTAATTTCAAGAGAAACATCAAAAGTGCTTTATTCAAAGTAATGTCCATCGCTAGCTACACATTTCCCCCATCTTTCAGGTAATTTGTGGATACCGTTCCAATAGAACTTTTCTTGTTTTGAGGCAAACCATACAAAGACCCAATTTTCCACTTCTTCGTACATTTTGAAGTGCTGCTCAGAAAGTACGTGTGCTGTTGATCGGAACAAGTGGTAATCTGAAGGAGCAAGGTCTGGTGAATACAGCGGGTGGGTTAATACTTCCCAGGCAAGATCTTTTAACGTGTCTTTAACTGGTTTTGAAGTGTGTGATGGTGCGGTATCATGAAGCAAAATTACTTTGCCGTGTCTTCTGGACCGTTCTGGTCGTTTTACGATCAAAGCGTCGTTCAAATTGATTATTTGTTGTCGGCAGCGATCAGTATTAACAGTTTCACCTGGTTTTAGAAGCTCATAATACACCACACCTTCCTGATCCCACCAAACGTAGAGCATTGTCTTCTTTCCGAAGCGATTTGGCCTTGCAGTTGATGTTGAAGGTTGACCTGGATCAACCAATGATTTTATGCGTTTAGGATTCTCAAAATAAATCCACTTTTCATCACCAGTCACAATTTGATGCAAAAATACTTTCTTTCATGCTGTTGAAGCAACATTTTACTGATGACTTTTCGGTTTTCCATTTGTCTTTTGTTCAGTTGATGTGGCACCCATTCTCCTTTCTTTGAAATCTTTCCCATTGCTTGTAAACGATTGGAAAATTGTTTGCTGAGCAACATTTAATCTTTCTGCAAGTTGTTTTTGAGTTTGACATGCATCTTCATCCAATAATGCTTGTAATTGTTGGTCTTCAAACTTTTTCAGTTGATCTGGACATTCTTTGTCTTTCACATCAAAATCATCACTTTTAAAGCGTTCACAAGTATCTTGAGATGGAGCATGTTCACCATAAGCTTCCTGAAGTATACGATAACTTTCAGCAGCACTTTTCTTCAAAATAAAGTAATGAATTAAAACTTCCCGCAAATGCTCTTTTTTTTTGCATGAAATTCGACATTTTTAAGTGTAAAAGTATATCTGATGATAACACCTTCAGCAAATTTGACATGTGAAGTTTTGAAGCTTGCTGTTAATACAACAAACAGCACACATATCAAATCGCATATATATCAATATATGTGTAACTCCATCTATTGAAAAAAATCCGCATTATTAACTGATACACCTGGTAAGGGTCCAGGAGCTGGCATGGGGATGGACTTCCAATGACCCAACTGCCACTGGACCTCCCGCCTGTCCCAGGGCCTTGGGGCTTACCTCTTCCTGCTCCTCCTCACTGTCATCGTCACTCACCACCGGCTTGGCCCGGGACCCACGGCTTGGCCGCCGCCGGCCCCCCTTCAGCCGATCCTGTGCCTTCTCCTTCCGGCCCAGCTTGATCTTCACTTTAACTGAGCGGGCTGGGGTGGGATCAAAAAGGGGGGCAAAAACATGAGCTCGGGAGAGCACGGCACCTCCTGAGTTGGGGGCACCTGGGAGCTGGGCAGGCTGTGAATGGACGGGGCACGAGACCTCTGGTTCTCTCAGGTGGGCATGAACCCTGTGATCCTGACTATTCCGGGAAGCCACAACCACCCACCCAGACACCCCAGGACTCACACTCGGACTCCGAGCCTTCCTCCTCGCCCTCCTCCTCCTCCTCGCTCTCCTCGCCTTCACTGTCATCCTCTTTCTCTATTTTCTGCCGCACGCTGGTGAAAACAGACTGCAGGACAATGGAGTCTTCGTAGATCTGGACAGAAACATGCAGGTATTGAGAGGACTGGGGCCCAAAGGAGGGGGAGCTCTGGCCAGATTGGCCCATGTGGGACAGAGGGACATCTCAACTGTCCTTTCCCAATCAGTGCCCAAGAGAACATCAGGATTATGAAATGGCTCCAGACAAAAGGTCAGGTGTGTTAGTTTAGAAACAGCTGAAGGTAGAAAAAGCAACACACAAAAATCTGCCCCAAAACAAAGAAACAGCTGAAGGATTCTCCCCCAGAATCACAGCGAGCACCTTTAAAGGCTCTGAGATCTGCAGTAACCAGAAATGCACATCCCTCATTTTCCCTAAATTTATGACTGTAAAACCTTTTCCAAGAGGCCCCTATCCCAAACACATTTGGCAAAACTTTCCTACACTGAGACTGTATGTTAATTTCATCATAGGAAAGGAAACATCCATAAGATTCCTTTCAAGAGGGTTCCCTAGTGAATTAAAAATAAAATTCCAAGATAAACAGGAGTTGTTCACAGGGCCACCTGGATGGAGGGGACTGAGTCTCCTTTCTCTATTTTACTTGCCTTTATTTTCTGCCCTTTTTTTCAGTCATGAACACATACTGCTTTTGTAATTAGTAAAATATTCCCAGTTGTTGGGAATTATTTTTACACCAGTCAATTCAAAATGAAGCGAGGGGCATGGTAGTTTGGGGCCCAGCTGTGAAGGGATGCCTCCTTACCAGGGAGCCTTCCAGGTTGAAGGTCTGCGCATTCTGGCACAGCAGCATGACGTCCTTCTCCAAGTCGTTGAGGCTGCGGTACTTGTGGTTGCGGATGCGCTCCTGCGGGAGAACAGAGAGCAGCCTGACCGCAGGGCTCCACCTTGTGCCTGGGGACCCGGGGCTGGGAGTCCCTCTGCTTAGCAAGGTCACAGCCGAGTCTCGGGCTCCTCTGTGCAGACTCAGAAGCTCAGACCCACTGAACACAAGAGCCACATGATTGAGGCCTAAAGTCTGGGTAACCGGCAGGAGTCCTGAACACTGGTGGCCTGATGACACGTCCTTGGGACACGGAGCCACGAGAACACCAGGAGACAGTGATCGGGTCTCAGGCCAGGGGTCCAAGGTCCTGGGTCAGTGAGAGAGCCCCCCCCCCCCACGCTGGGGTTACCTTAATCTTCTTGAAGTCCACGGGCTTGCGGATGAGCTCGTAGTACTCAGGCAGCTCCTTGCGGGAGGGCAGCTGGATGAACACCTCGCTGAGCTGACGTCCACTACTACTGTAAGGGAGCAGAATGGACATTATTCACAGGCCCTGCCAACTGGGGGAACCCCACCCCCCTTCATGGTTTGAGGACAGAGAGGGTGAGAAAGTCAAAGCCGGCTTAGGAGTTATTTCCTGTACCTGTGCTGTCTTGAGAGCTCTGGAACATTCCTGAGAGGCAACCATGCATGGAGAGGCCAGGGATGTATTTCAATCCAGGCCCTGAGCTCATCCAACTTCCCCGACCCCCTCAGCCCTCGTGCCACACCAAGCCAGCCTCGGCACTGGACAGGTCACGATTATGCACGAGGCAAGTATCAGTTTGCTCGGTGCTGGGAGCACTGAGCACCAGCATTTGCAGAGAGGTGACTGTTTGCAAACATGTTGTGTCTCTTGCAGGCAGCACTTAGGAGCAGTGACCTTCAGAGAATCTGGCAAAAACCCAGGAAGAAAGATGCCCCCCAGCAAGATGTTAACGAAAGATAAAAGCTGTTTTCTAGCCCTTTCCTCAGCTTTCTTGTTTCCCACAGGGAGCTGAGGAAAGATGTGGCCTGTGTACCCATGAGAGATGACTGGGCCTCCTGCACCCATTCCTGGGTCTCACTCATGGTGAAACCTGTGCAGCAGGCCAGCAGGCTGCGCCACACCTGAGCCTGGCTCTGTACTAGGGACAGCAGCTCAGATGAGACATCATCCCGGGGAGGGAGTGAACAGGAGCTGGATTCAGGCCTGAAGGACCAGGGGAGAAGACAATGCCCCCTGAGTCAGTCTCCCTGCTGTTCAGCCAGCCTGCAGGATGGCGGTTCTGCCTCCAGGAACCTAACGTGCCCCAGGGGTTCCGTCCTGCTGGGGCTCCAAAACAGTCAGCACAGGCCCAGGGCCATCCAGGGAGTTGGTGACCTGGTGACCACCTTGCTCTCCAAGCCTCTCCCCACCCAGGCGCCCACATTCCAGCTGTGCTTTTATCCAGGTCCTGCTGTCAGAACATCTGACCCCCTCTGCTGCCCCACCTCCTTCTGGCTGCTTCACCACTCGGGCTTTTCAGTCACAACAGAGACCGTGGATTGGGCCCAGAGCTGCCTGTGGGCTGAGCCCCTTTGGCTCAACTGCTTTCCTTTTCTTTTCAACAGAATTCTCAAAGGACAGAGCAGGCTGCCCACTCCATCCCAACGCTGGCCCCCACTCCTGTTTTTGTTTACTATTCTGGAAGACAGTAGTGACAACACAACTGCCCTTCGGGTTTTGTTGCTGGATGCCCCAATTTCATAATGGCCTTAAGGAGCAGCCTGGCCAGCACCACCTCCCCGAGGCTGTTCCCAGTGGGATCCCTGGAAGCCTTTGTTCATCTGGGGTTTCTGTGCATCATGAGGGCCCTGGCCTGAAAGACGGGCTGGAACCTGGTCCCTGCACCTTACTTGCCTTGGACAACTGCCATCACTTGCTGTGGGCCAGACACACTTTAACACGGGTTCTCATCACACTGTTATTTCAACTGTTGTGATGAAGGAACTAAGGCAAAAGTTCAGCCTGCCCTGGCAGGACACAGCCCACCTCGGGCCTTGCCTTCCTCCCAGTGTTACGTGAGGACACCAGTAAGTGGCCGCCTCCCGCTTTCTTTCCTGCCCTGTGCAGGGTCCAGGTGTCACACCAGGTGTAAGGGAGGGCACACCCCCTCCAGGCTGTCCTTCCCAGCCAGGGAGCTCCTCCCTGACACAGGCTTCCTTTCTCTCATGAACAGGCGGGTGGGTGGTTTGGCAACAAGCAACTGCAATTCATTTATGTCAACTCCAAAAATGACAGGTAACAAAACACGCAAAGAGCCCTCCTTTCTCACGGCAGTGTTATCCCACACTTTGGCACGATGTTGGGGAGCATTGCATTTTACACTCTGACCCAGGACTCTCACCCACACGTGTAAAATAACAAGTTCTGTGGGGCATTAGTCTCCCTTACAAAGTGCAATGGACTCTGATTTCTACTCTATCTCACTGAGAAAGGCCAGCTGGGTCCCACAAAATTCACTTCACAGCCCACTAATGGGCACAGACTTCCAGCTTGAAAAGCCCTGCGTGCAGTGCCAGGGCCAGTGGAGCCTGGCCACACGCCCTGTCACCCGTGAAATCCATGCAGGTAGCCGGCCTCAGGGGTGTGTGTGGCCCTCCAGAGGTGGGACTCTAGTGCTGTAATAGAGCAGAAAGTTTCATAACAAAACTCCCTCTCCTCTGCCACCCTAAGAAATTGTTTGAGAGCAAAGAAACAGGGCCTCCTCTTATAAACCTTTGGGGGAATTGAGTCTTTGAGGAATAAAAGCCCACCTGCCACCAGCCCTTCTCAGCTGTAATGAGCTCTGAGTGCAGATAGCCTTGACCTGGGTGTACACAAGGAGGGAGAGGGTGCCAGGATCACAGGGTCTTTTAAAACTGTCCTCTCTCAGACAGCCAAGGCTTCTTGGAAAGCCACTGATTTAAGATTTTAATTGCTCAGAAGTCCCTTAGAGAGTCAGTCCACTAAACCCCAAGCCATTGGTTTGAGATCAAGAGCCATCCAGATTGGCTCACCAACCCCCCTCATCTCTCTCTTAAAAAAAAAAAAAATTATTAATTTCAGAGAAGGGAGGAGGAGAGTGATAAAACATCAATGACGAGATGCCTCCTGCACACCCCACACTGGGGATAGAGCCCACAACTTGGGCATGTGCCCTGACCAGGAATTGAACCAGTGACCTCCTGTCTCATAGTCGATGTTCAACCATTGAGCCATACTAGCCGGGCCCTCCTCATCTCTTTATCAGAGGTGGACACCCCACAGCTCTCCACCTCCTGTAAATAAATCCCAAAGTCCTTCTGACAGCCGCACAGTCCTCCAGGATGGACTATCCATGGCCTCTGATGTCGCGTCCATCTCTACCTCCTCACACCCACGTCAGGGCCCACGTCACTGCTCTCCTAAGAAACCCAGGATCCTGCCCTCACCGCAGCATAAATGTCACCTTCTCCTGAGAGTGCTCTGACCTCTGTCCACCTTGCCCTCAGACCTCTTAATAAAAAAGGAGGCGTGAGCTGTAAGACAAAGGTACACATCTTCAGCACTTGGCTCCCTGAGGTGCCCAAGGCTCCTGTGAGCCTCCCTGACCTTTGACACTGACCGAGCTTGGCTTTTTCTTGAACTTGATGTTACAGGATCACACAGGGTGAGCCCCCAGGCCTGGCAGTGCCCCTCACCGTCATCCATGAGATTTATCCATTGGCGCGTGTAGCAGTTCACTGTGTAGTAACTGCTTTGTGCTCCAGAGCAGGCACCCCCGTGGTCCACTTGTCCATCTGCTGTTGCGGGGCACCAGGCTGTATCTGCTTTGGGATTATTATATAAAACAAGTGGCTGTGGACCCGTGTGTCTGACTTTTTGGCTCGCATCTCTTGGGAATTTACCTGGGGGCAGAAGTGCTGGGTCAGGGGCAGAGGACATCCAGCTTCTGTAGCTACTGAGCCCGTGTCCACTCCTCCAGCAGCAGGTGAGCGTCTGGTTCTGTGCAGCTGCATTTGCTCCCGTCACTCTTCCTCGATGTGGGTGGTCTACGTCCTGCTGTGCATTATCGCTTTGTGGTTTTAATTCACATTTCCACCTTTTCACAGGTGCACTGGGGTCTGACAGCCTGTCAGGCACACCTGTTCATGTCTTTGCTTCCCCTGGGAGTGCTCTGTTGGACATATTTATTGCAAACCCCTTCTCCAATCTATGGTGTGTCTTCTTACTCCCTGGATGGTCTTTTGGTGAATAGATAATAGTGTTAATCAAAGTCTAATTTATCAGTATTTCCTCTTATAACTGGTGTTTCTCCTGCCCTGTTAGAGAAATCTTTGCCTACTCCCAGGTCACAAAGATATTGCATTTTCTTCTTGGATATTTTCACCTATTTACATGATTGGATATGAGGCCAGTTACCCTGGTTAGTTTCTGTCCATAAAAGTTACCATTCATCCCACCACACCCAGAACACGAGCCAAGAGGGCAGAGACCTTGCCTGTTTTATTCACTACTCTGTCTGTGGCACCTGGAACAAAGCCTAGTATGCAGCAGGTCCTCAATAAACATTTGATGAACGGAGGAAGAGAGAGTGCAGGGTGAAAGTCTCAGGGTCACAGGGCAGGGCTTGAACCTGGGTCTCACGAAGGTCACCTCTAACCAGGGTGCCTCACCACCCGCAACCCCGTGCGGTCATTTATATACCATCCTGCTACAGAAAAGACTCTGGAAGCAACTACCAGGAGTCCCACCGCAGAGTACACCGCAACAGCCTCCTACTTGTGAGACTTGCTCTGAAAAAGCTCCTGCAGACAGTTGTTCGGAACTCCATCCCCAGCCCTGCCCCATGTCTGGCAGTCCTGGCAGGGGTGGGATGGAAATGAAGGAGTCTGGAAGAACCATGAAGCTGTCAGGATCAGCCTGCCATGGCCCTAATGCCTCTAGCTCAGGTTGTCACTGGTTTGGCAACAGCAACCATGGCTGTTGCTGACAATCCATATGATGATGAGAAAAATGATGATGTTATTCTACCTCTAGATGTCAGCTCCCAGAGCAGGGACTTTCCTCAACCTCGTCACTGCCCAGTCCCCATCACTACAACAGGGACATGATACGCAGGAGGTGCTCAGAGAGACCAAAGCCTTTTCTAATTTTACAAGCCCTTCTCCTTGGAGCTTGAATAGCCTTGGTGGGACCCTTATTATTTAACCTGCACAGACAGTGTTTGCCTCTCTGTGGAAAAGTGCTCTCCCCTACACTAACTTGGGGTTCTGGTGGGGCTGACTATCATCAAGCAGGACCACAGCACCAGCCAGCCAATCAGAGTCCTTTTCTGGGATTTTCTACCACCAGCTGGGGAAGCAGCAGTCACTTGTGGTAGCCACGGTTCAGCCATGAGAACCGTGGGAGGAGAGAGGTGACTGACAACTCTAGATCCCAAGAACTAGTCTTCACTAACTCCTCCATGGCCTCCAGGCCAAAAAAAATCCCTAC